CCGTTCCGGGTTTTGAACTCGCGGGAGATCGTACTGGTTTTGCGCTGCGTCGCGCGCTGCGCAGCTACCCCTAATTAATTGATGTACACAACTATTGATGTACACAAATAATTGTCGAATTTCGAGTAATTAACTAATGCTGCGATTTCATTGGCCAAACCTAAATTGATGTACGTTGCATTATATTTTAGTGACAAAGCCTCATATATCTTTTACAAAATATTAGAATATATATACTTAAATTTGCTATCAAGAATTTGTTAAAAATAGTAAGCCAACAAATAATAAGAAATTATTAGATACACAAATCAGATAAAAATTTTGGGGCACATGTGTAGATAGTGCGAATAGCACATATAGCATGATAAAGTAATATAAAAAATCTATTTATGTTATTTTTTCTATATAAACGATTGAAATTATTAAAATTTTTATACCGTACATAAACAACTTCCCTTTCATAATAAAAGAACCATCTAGTGAAAAAGCTTTGGAAAATGAAGGAACCGAAGTATAGTTCTTATTGCAAGGTCGACAAATCCCTCCTTGTTGGAGGAAAAGTAGATACAATACTAAAACGAATCTCCTCAGATGCCGATATTGATGGTGATAATGATATGTTGGTAGGACAACAAGCAAACTTCACCGAACTGCCTAGTCTTGATATGTTTAGTGATTTCCAGAGTGTCTTATCACACCACCAATGTATGATTAATACTAACAGAGATGAAGTTTGTTTTACTGATGCTGTACCTTATATAAGAACATCAGCACATCCTATGGAAGATATAACATCTATAGTACTCTGGCACAAAGAAAATGCTGTGTCTGTACAGATTGACATTTATGAGGTTCCAGAGATTAAACCAATTGTTAATCGTAAATATCCTAATGAATTGTATTATGACACCATGGAAATTAACCTAGGAAGCGACACAAAACGTAATACTGATTCGCTTAAGATTATTTGGTAAAGCAGTACATAGATATGATACAATCATGTTCTCTAAAATGTGTGAACTTATTCAGGATTATATCGTTTTTGTCAAGAAACAACCTTCTAAGACAGGAAAATGCTTTACGATTGGTATTAATGTTAACAAAGCATTTAATACTAATGTTGATTTTGATATAACATTAGAAATCTGTTGGGATATTGAAAATATCTGTATGTGGCCTAAATGCATTAGAAGTGATGGTTTTTGTTATATTATATCTCAAAAAACGTTAGGATTAGAAGATATAGGAAGTCAAGTAATCACCAAACCCCAGAAAGAAGATCATATTAGGAAAGCTATATATGATGCTGCAGTAATGCCTTAATTACTCAGGGCATACAATATTACCATCCACAATCCAGCATAGCTCTTCAGATGGCAGAACAAGCTAAATGGGCTACATCGATTGGTATTTCACTTGTGCTGGAAACATGTGGTATCGAGGTTAAGGATAAAGCTTTTGAAATGATAGATATCGTTATACCAGATCAAGTATATAAGCTTAGAACAACATCCATAGGTAAAGGAGATGGTGTGCCTATGATGACTTCAAAAGCTTGGAATGTTATGTTTCCGTCTGATAGTCTAAAAAGTATATCAAGAAGCCCGATAGCTGTCGCCAACAGTATACTTTACAATTATATAATATTTGGCAATGAGCTAGGTAGACTAGTGGGACCAGTTGATATTATGTTTCTATACGACTATGCGATCGAAAACAGAATGAATTTTAACACATTCGACATGTGGTTTTCTGGTGTCAGAAATAAGATAGCACTCCTATTAAAACACATGACACCATTACAGGCAACAAGTATATTAGGGAATATTTTGTGTTATGAGATGGTTAAAGCCAAATGTAGGGTAGAGGAAGCAAGCAGGCGCTGCTCTCAAGTAAATAAAAAAATGGCCGTGTGGAAGGATTTGAGAACAATGTTTCATTTCAGAGTTGTTGATGCTGCTTTTCTTAAAATAGTGCCATATACTATGTTGACTACTGATGAAATGGATATCATTGGATTTGGTTCGGTATTACATGACTTAGCTGATTTTGGATATGATATAAGTGTCAAAGAACCAAGCAATACATTCTTAACTATCACAGGTGGTAAGATAGACATGGATTCTATAAAAAAAGGATATATTCGCATGGCAAATGGGCTGCAATACCTCATCGAAAGATACAAATACGATGCATGTGGGTTGGTATTCCTAGCTACTCACTTCTGGCAAATTGCCAATGGACGTCATAGAATTATTCCATCAATCTATAATGGTGCAACTAACTATCAGCATGAGTATTTAGAATTAAAAGGTACATTGTTGGATATATTGCAAAATAATAATTTTACTAAAAAAAATAGTATCAGCACACTAGAAGCTGCAGAAAATATTAGGGCTGTTGCTTTATCGCTAGGATATGATGCTATAGCAATTGCTAAACTTGTCACCATAGATATTGCTGGTAGTTACGCTATCGATATTGAAATATCTCCCCAAACCATCAATGTGATCGAACGTAAAATGTGTGAATTATCAGTATCCATTGCAATAGGATGCGATACCAATGGCAAGATGACTTCCTTTCTATGGATGATATGCGAGTACATGTGGTTGAAAACAGGTATGATGTTATCTTGTTTGCTTAGCTCAGCAAAGATTATGTACAACAGAAGACAATCGGATAATAGAGGTGGATTACAATACAAATGGTAACTGGAAAAGTTGGATATATAACTTGAAGAACTTGTTATATGTTTTCTGAATACTGTGAGTCAATTTTGTCTGGTTCATCTTGCCATATATTAGAACTAGCGTATAACCTGTGCCTCTGGCACGAAAAGGTGTAAATTACCATAATTTTACATAATTTAAAAAAAAATTGCCTGTATAATCATATAACATTTCATAAAATTTTAGTCATTTATGTGATATTGCATAATTGCTGAAATTAAATTATAAATTTAATCATACAATTGTATTTTATTGGCTAGTTATGTGAAAAAATCTCTAATCACTAAGCAAGATTCAATATAAGGCGAGACCAAGTTGATTCTCTGTTTTACATTACCCCCCCTCGCCTCTTTGAAAGAGGGGGGGGGGGGGGGGGGAGAAGGGTTTACATAGTAAAAATTAAAAAAAATTTTTTTTCATAACTATATAAAATTTTTTCAAAAAAACCATAGTATTACTATGGGGAAATTATAGATGCAGACTTATGACATCACCCAGTTACGTCCTATATAAAAAATCGGTTTATAAAATAAGACACAATTAACCTGTAACTAATGACGTAAATAAGTCTGCACCTATAGGGGAAATGCGATAATTAAATTATCAGATGATCTCCCAATTCCGTAAATAAACTTACTATTTTAAGCTAATACATTTGCTTTATTAGTTAAAGCGATCTAAAGCTGTTAATATTTTTTCATCATTGTTCTTACCGTCATGAATTATATTTCCGTAGTAATAGAAGAACCTTCAAAGGTTTTATTTGAAACTGCAATTAATATAGCTCATATTGTAGATATTGGAACTTTCAGTGACTTACTTTTTGAGATTGCAAGTAATAAATTTTCTGATAATCGCATTTATGTTTTTGGTCGTGAAAAAAAGAATGATAAATGGACAAAGTTGCAGGATGGTTTAGATGATTATTTACAGGCGTTAGTTCAATTAAACTTTAAAATGGTTAGATTTCTAATTGAGTTGCAAGATGCAAATGAGGTATTAATGAATAATGCAAAATGACTTTATCTTCCCAAAAAACTATCACTTGATC